CATACAAAGCCTTGTATGGAAGGAAGTGTAGATCCCTAATTTATTGGATCGAAGTCGAAGATAGGGCCTTACTATGCGTTGCATTAGGCATTTAAACATGGACTTGGATCATGCATTGATTGCTAACGAGTTCTTTGTTTTGGCACGGAGTACGATGTAAGTATTTATGCTTTAGCATCTCGCATGAGTGTGAATGTTAACATGACAGTATACTTGCCATGCGGCTATATGTTTACATGATATTACTGCTTGAATGCCTGTGGGTGAAGGTTGGATTGTTTGAGTTGGAACAACTCATTGAAATCCGTGTTTTTTAGCCTACTTACGAGTAGCAAATTTTAAATTGTTTTCCGAACAAACGGATATGCAATGTTTCGTTCCAACTTAGGCGATTTGGTCTATACTTGTTTGCTGTGCGCATCACATAGTAATTCTAGGCTAATAATCGGAATAAGAACACATAACGTTTTCAAAAACGGATATCACGGTTATTAGAGGCCGATCTTCGGATCGGGCGAGAGGGGGTGCTCATAGCTGACCTTCCCCAATCGTACCCAAGCTCCCGAGCCGAGGCAACTTTGGTGATGACGGACACATGGCCTTTGGCACCGAGTCAGGGTTTCCTAAATTCCCCCATACAAAATATTTAGGTGGCGACTCTGTATCTGGCAAAGTAGTCCATGTTTGGCACTTCTTTTTCAAAATCTATTTTCTCAAAACGATTTGCCAGATTTGAACTCTTTGGTTCAGATTAAGGACCGTGACAAATTGAGTCTGAACTGTAGCACAAAGGCCTCACGCGGGCGCGTCTACAAGACGGTTTTAAGGTCTAAAAATCATTCAAAATAGCTTTGGTCCAAAACGGGGTGCGAGATTAGGATTTGACTTTCCTCTTGCCAAAGAAATCGAACCTTTGCATTGCATAGCCTGCATCACTAAGTAAGCCATCAATAGCGCCCAAGTTTTAAGAGCGGTCAAAAATGAGGTGTCTACACAGGCTTGCACCCCATCATACCGGTGTCCCGAAGAAGGTCCAAAGTATACTTCCGTTGGGATAATGATATCTCACTGCGAGAACAAGCTACTTCAATCCTCAAGAAATATTTGAGAGGACCCGAGTCCTTGATGTCAAAAACTCGACTAAGCTCTTGTTTTACCTTAGCAATACCAATGGTGTCATCTCTTGTAAGGATGATACCATCCATATAGACCAACAAAATAGTACATCGACCAGTGGGCTGACGACGAATGAAGCATGTATGGTCGGAGTGACACTGAGTAAAATCCATGGATAGGATAACAGAGCTGAAACGATGGAACCATGCAAGTGGAGATTGCTTCAAGCCATAGAGAGACTTATGCAGATGACAGACCTTGCCAGCATACTCCCCCTCAGCCCGAAACCCAGGTGGAGGATCCATGTAGATCGTCTCAAGTAAGTCCCCATGAAGAAAAGCATTCTTGACATCAAGTTGATGAAGGTGCTAAGAAGAAGAGACAGCCAAGGAAATAAGTAAATGAACGGTGGTCAATTTAGCAGCCGGTGCAAACGTAGCCCTAAAGTCCTTGCCAGGAACCTATGTAAAGCCCTTAGTAACAAGACGAGCCTTATAGCAGTCCATGGTACCATCAGCCAAGTATTTACAGTAAAAACCCACTTGCACCCAATAGTCGTTTCACCAGAAGGTAAAGAGACAAGATCCCAAGTGTGATTATGCTCCAAAGTAGCCATTTCAGTTTGTAGAGCGGCAACCCATTGGGTATTCTGGAGAGCCTCAGACACAGACCGCAGGATAGAGACCGACTCAAGTTGGCTAAGAAAAAACCGATGAGAAGCTAAAAGGGCATCATAACATAAAAACTGGGAAATAAGGTGATTAGTACTACTAAACCAACCAAACCGATTAGGGGGATAGAGTTCACGGGTTGGATACTGGGAAGCAGCTGGAGACACTACTAAAAAAAGTACTTTTTGCGACCGCTATAAACCGTCGCAAATAATAAAAATACAGTCGCAAAAGACCTTTTGCGACTGCCCATGCGACGGCAAATGGGGGTCGCGAATGTGGGGGTGGCAAATACTTTTTGCGACCGCAAAATAGCAGTCGCAAACTATTTGCGACCACCTAACTTACTTATGGTGACTGATATTTTGCAGTCGCAAAAAAATTTTAAAAATGCCTACAATGTATTAGCAACCATCTTGTTACCGTCGCAAAAAATTTAAAAAAAAAAAAAAACATAAAAATGTGGCGTTAAGCAATAGCAATGGCCCCAACACAATCTATTAAGCACCAACAAGAAACATAACAATGTAACGTTCACAAACAACAATTGCCACTGTTCAAGAGGAGTCTCAAGAGCCTTATTAATCCATTAAGCTTCAAATAAAACCAAATAACTAGTTTCAAACAAAGCACAAAATTCTCTTTACTCTGATTACTATTTTAAAAAGGATTAATAGGTGAAGTTGTATTTTTTGCTTATCTATCCATGATTATACAAATTATTTTTATACATAAAACACATAAGTATACATTTGTAAAATAGTAATTAGAGTAAAGAGAGGCAGTAAACTAGCTAAAACAAAAAGTTAGGTTAGCTAAAAAAGAAAAAGAAATACTTCATCTCTGAACTGGTTGCTCTAATCCTTTTTAGTCTTTAATATGACTGATTGTCCTGACCAGCACTATGTCATGAGGTTAGAGTCATCTCTAGGCTACCTTAGATTAAGATCCAAGTATAGTTATTTTTTATTAATCTCTATACAAATTCCACGATACATCACTCATTCGATGATAGCCTAATTGCATAGGGTCTGACTGATTATGATTATGGCACAATGATGCAAAGGTACTTCATTTATGCTAAATTGTTGTCAACTTACCAAATAAATTGAGCCAACCAATCCCACGCATTCAAACATTGAAAGTGCGTCAAAATTGTGCATTTTTTTATTTTATTTTTTTTAATCTTTTTTAGGTGTAATGTAATTGTGATCTTTCCATGCATGACATGCACGTTCACACCTGCATAAAACATTGTTAGCTGTTGAATTGTCAAACTAACCGATTTTATTATAATCCCATTGTTATTAAACTAACATGGTTGCACTTGTAGCTTATGTAACGTTGGTTTCACCTTTCACTTGAATCTGTTGTTCCTACGGTGTTAAATATTATAGACAGTGCTGCATTGAAAAGAATAAACAATACAAAAAGAAAGGGGAAAAAAAATGAAAAGATGGAATTGATGAAACAATTTAGGCAATATTTTAGAATAGAAAAGGATGATGAAAAGGAAAAATAATTTATTATGTCTTCTATATCAACCATCGTTACCTCTAATCATACTTAGACAACAAATTAACTTAACTCATTTTCACATTTTGCATCAGTGACCTAACTGATTTATCTTGGTGCATATGAAGGCCCATTTTTACTTTCCAACTTTTCTTCCAACTCAAGTATCCTTTTCTACATAAAAGGAAAAGAAAAAGAAAAAAGATGAGGCATTTTATTTGCAATTAAAATGATTTAGTGCTTTATTCTCATTGTTTTATGATAGTTTGTTTTGCAGCAAATCAAACATGCGTAAAGTCCCACCTGAGATGCTATTCACTTCTCTATAAAAGGGTATTGATTTTTTTTTTTTATTATTTTTTTTTTGTGGAATTTTTGAAGCTCGAATGCAGCCATGGATGGGGAAATGGGAAACTGGTGAAGAAAACATTTGGGTTGGGTGGTTTGAACTGTGGATTGATTGCGTGGGAAGGAAGGAAGGAAGAGGTCAGAGTCATTAGTTACTGATACCATGGACTGCGTTATGTTTGGTGTGTGATTTTTTAGTGTTTGATGGTGGTGGTGAGGGTGAGCTGTCTTGGGATAAAGAAGATGTAAAGGTTAGGTGAGGGGATTAATTGTGTTCTTTTTATTTAGGTGGATGAAGATGTAAAGAAAAGTTCAGGTTCTTTGCTCCATGCTATTCTTCTTCTTTTTGATTTTTTATTGTCTTTTGTTCGTATAATCCTATTTGTGGCACATTTTGTCTAAACAAGCACAAACAAGATACTAAAAACCAATCTTTTGATGACAATTGAGACTTGTGTCTAAGATCACAACCCTAAGCCATGGCTAGAACCACATAAAATTTGACCCAACAAAGTAATAAAATAAAATAGTTTTATCTGGTACAACTTTAGACCTAATGTAAGAAACAACTGGTACCTCTCAATATTGGGCTTAGAATCATCCTCATCATCGTCCTCGTCCTCGTCCTCGTCCTCGCCATCTAGGTCAGGCGATATGTCAAAAGTAGAATTCAACTCTGCATCAAGAAATGCAGCAAAGTCCTCGCTGCTTGACGAGTGTACTAGAGAATCAATCACAAGACTCATCTGAAATGCCATCCAAGCAATAAATTAACAAATCCATTTGACGGATTTTAGCAACAAAGTACTTTTCAATTATGTATTTCTAAATTCATGGAGATTATTGTGATGTTAGAATACAATTCAAATTCATGGAGATTATTGTGAATTTAGTAACATCACCAAATTTCAAACAAATTAACAAATCCATTTGACGGATTTTAGCAACAAAGTACTTTTCAATTATGTATTTCTAAATTCATGGAGATTATTGTGATGTTAGAATACAATTCAAATTCATGGAGATTATTGTGAATTTAGTAACATCACCAAATTTCAAACAAATTAACAAATCCATTTGACGGATTTTAGCAACAAAATACTTTTCAATTATGTATTTCTAAATTCATGGAGATTATTGTGATGTTAGAATACAATTCAAATTCATGGAGATTATTGTGAATTTAGTAACATCACCAAATTTCAAACAAATTAACAAATCCATTTGACGGATTTTAGCAACAAAGCCAATCTTAAATCTTGAAGCTATCCATAATCTCATTTTCAGCAGAAACTGCACAATAATATAAATCGGTACTTCAATAAATTTGCTAAATTAATATTATTATTAAAAATAATTTGCTTTACAACCGACATTGACCCTGCTCTGATTGAAAATAATTTACCTTCAGAATATAATCTGTCTGAAGAGTTCTTTTTTGCCCCTCAATTGAAGTCGCCTGTTAAATACCATTCTCTTTATGATTTTCAACGGATCTTTTGAAGTAAAATAATCAATTTATAGTTATGGTTACCTTCATGAAGGTGTCAATGTCTATGTCAGGGACAATTCCTGCTTCTTTCTCCCTTTTGCTAACTTCCTTCATAATTTCTTCATTTCCAGATATGTAAGTTAAATCAACTTGTTATGAGGGCAAGTTTACACCAATATGGGATATATATAAATTATGAAAGAGTGAAGGAACCCTACCTGCTCTACTTCCAACACCTTGACAGCGTGCAGAAAAATCTATCGTTTCCCTCACAGTCATCTCAGGTTTGTGCAGGTCATATTGGCTTATGTAAGCTGATGTTTTCTGAGGTACAAACTCATCGAGCCTGTAGCTGTTGTAAAAGACTTCCCCCGCAACCTGAAGAAATTAAAAGGATTGAAAATGAAATACATTACAAACATTGTAATGATTGGCTTTTTCAAATTCATGATTGAGATTTCTGTCTATAGAATCCTTATTAATTTGAATATGTTGAAAAGATTGTAATGATATGATTTTCGATAATAATGTTTCTTTGTCGTTTCATATTACTAACTCTCTTCATAATTAGATTGGTTGGCAGAAATTGCCACCATTTATATCTATGCATTAGCACAGTAGTGGTGTCATATGAATGCAATTGTTTGGTGTCTGTCTATAGAGCCCATAAAATTTAAAAAGTTTTTTTTTTTAATAAAACAAAAATTAATTTTTTTAAAAATAAAGATTAAGGTTATGCTTGTTTAGGGATTGAGGAGTTTGTTGGATTGTAAATCTATGAGATAACTCAATCTTAGGTTAGTAAAGTCACAGTTACTCTATTGACTCAAATTTTAAACCTTTGAATTTCTTGTAATCTCGAGAGATAGTCACATGAATCACTGACCAACTATCCTATACAGATAACAAACTAATTTAGATAACAACATAACACCCTACTTGATTTTAGCGATAGATTATGAAAAACATCACTAAATGTCACTTTTTTTTACGATTTTTTGATCTATACAAACACTTGTGAGATTTAATGGTATACATGTTCTTCTAATAATTAAACCATCGATTGATTTGATTTTTTAAGGGGTTGTTTGGAGTAAACTAAATAAGTCAATTTTATTTTTTTGATTTTTTTT